AGGCTGGCGGTTCAAACCCACCAGCCACTTCTCGGAAGGAAGGTTGGGCAATCCTACTTCCGTAGTGATACTGCCTTGGAAACCCAAGGAGGGGTAGCTATGAGTCGGGGCCGACTCGACGGCAAATAAAAACAACAACAATCCTAAAGAATTGAGAGCCAGGACACGAACAGATATATGCACACCCATGCTCATTGCAGCACTTTTCACAATAGCAAAGAGTTGGAGACAACCTAAGTGGCCATCAACAGAAGAACTGATAACCAAACTATGGTACATACATACAACAGCATACTATGCAACACTAAAGAATAACATAGAATCTGTGAAACACCGCATAACATGGATGAACTTGGAAGACATTGTACTGAGTGGAATAAGTCAATCACAGGAGGACAAATATTGCAGTAGTTCACTATTGTAAAAATCAAGGAAAAGTTTATATATGGAAGGAAATTTTCTTTGGTTGGTTACAGGGTCGGGGGGAAGGCACACTCCTAGATGGGTAGAGACACATACTGATTTGGGTGAATGGAAAGGCAATATACCAAAAGTGAGTTACTGATACAATAACACTAAGGGAAGGCAGAGGTGCAGAAGAGATACAGACAACAAAGACAAACGCTTTTACATACACAGTACTGTGTTACCAGTGACAATACACTGGTGAATATGTGGACAGAGAGGCTGAATGATAAGGTATGTGGAAGCAAAGGGAATATACCCATGAACATATGTAAGTTTGGCAGATGGTATTTCTATGCATGTATTGGTATGTGATGTAAGAATGTCCATATAACTAGTACTAACAGGGGGCAAAGTTATGATGACTTCTTAGCACAGTCAACCATCTTGATGAAGCAAGTTTTTGGACCTGTGGGCTTGGGACCATGGCCGCAGGTCTCATAATGTTCAATTGGCATAACACACTACACAAAAACATTGTTCTGCAGCCTGTTTTGTTGTTGTTGTTGTTAAGTGCTGTCGAGTCATTTCCGACTCATAGCGACCCCATGCACAGCAGAACGAAACACTGCCCGATCCCGCGCCAG